TATATGTATATGTGTATATATATATATATATATATATATATATATATATATATATATATATATATATATATATATATATATATATATATATATATATATATATATATATATATATATATATATATATATATATATATATATATATATATATATATATATATATATATATATATATATATATATATATATATATATATATATACACACACTAGGGCCCCTCAAGCTTGAGGGGCTTGTGTGTGTGTGTGTGCGCGTGCACGCGTATGAATTACTGACCGTTGAATTTATTTATTATCTATTATTTATTCATTTACTTTTATTTGTATTTATTTATCTAATTATCTATCTATCTATCTATCTATCTATCTATATACATATATGTAGAGAGAGAGACAGACACAGAGACTGAGAGAGAGAGAGAGAGAGAGAGAGAGAGAGAGAGAGAGAGAGAGAGAGAGAGAGAGAGAGAGAGAGAGAGAGAGAGAGAGAGAGAGAGAGAGTCATACAGATTAATATGACTGCATCCTGATTCTGACCCTTCCTTTTTGGTTTTGGTTTTTTTGTTTCTGTTTTTGTAAGAGATACAAGAACAAATCCAGGATAGAAAAACACATAGGCACAGTTCACATATCTATTATTACAAAATCATTCTGTAAGTAGACTAGACTGATAAAGTGGGAATACACACATAATGAGATGCATTAGGTAAAGAAAAGAAATGAAAACTTTCATTTTTTTCTAGAAAAGCACTGCCTTAATAAATTAAAACAACCTAACTTTCCAACTCTAGTCTATGCCTTCCATTCATATATCAATCTGAATATAAACAAATAACTTCTCACAACAGCATATAGTTCTTCTGCAATTCTTGAGCATTCATCTCGTGTATACTTCTAGCTACACTGCAGCTTGGTTAATAAACAAAAATAAAAGGTAATTTCATACTTTCCTCCTCTCACACCGAAAAAAAAATCCCAATATCGACTTTACTGATCACTTATTTATACTGTTAGAGTTTGTGATATTTTGTGAAGAAATGAAAAGCAGTTCATATCCGTTCTGAAATCCTTACCTAACATATTTCCTCAGCTTACAATATTGATATCTATTAATTTCAAGTGTTTATATCAAATGTTTCTGGGACTTCAAAGATTATTACCATGACTCGTATAACCAGTACTTTTTTTTAATCAGGCATTAGCTCAATCCTCAATACCAGAGTACAATTCTACCAAATGAAATTATAAAATTAATGCTGTTTAAGTCTGCGTGTCACATTATATCTTAAAGCAAACTGATTTTTTTTTTTTTTTATCTAACCAATTCTGTCTCCATAATTTTTATTAGAGAGTAAAATCTTCAGCTTCCTAATTATTTTCTACTCCTAATTTTATCACTAAATCATGCTTCCATAAAAATATGGCAGTTGCTCAACTGAACAGATCTAATTGTCACACATTTTCCACAAGAAATTATGGCAGTTATATTTAAATGTCCATCACTGATGATCATCTAAAATATACTGGTTCCACACCTTAACTGTATCCAGCATACATTATTATAATTGTTGTTATTCCCTTTATTCACCTAAAATATCAATGCAGCATTTAACAAATTCTGCTAAAAGGAACTTCAAAGGAATTCATACACTTATTAGCAATGTTTTACATGCTGATGATTGCAACTGATCAATCCTGTCTTGTATTATTTTCATCAGAGCCTAACCCTATACCTAGATTTTTTATTAGGACAAAGGTGCACTTGACAGGGAGATAGGTTGGAGATGATAGTCATTTGATAATTACCAGGTTGGCTATGGAAATTAACCAAAATACATCATTTACATATGTTGCATTCAGCCAATCAGCATCAACTTCTCAACCACACCTTTGCAACAGTAAAAAATTAGTACAGAGTGCTGTCACTGAATACAAGTAAGGAGTAAAGAATACTCAACAAAAGTAGAATCAGTCTGACCTTTTCCAAATCAAACCTCAACAAGCATCTGCAGCTAAAATTGACAATCAGGAAATTACACAATGGGTAAATAAATGCCTTACTTTATCCTACTAAGATTCCTCAACAGTGCATGTAATGTACCGATTAACCATATGTCAACATTATGCAACCACAAACTTCTTATACATAAGTATGTTGATTTTACATCACTGTTCCATAAGCTGTACAGGTGCTGATTTTACATTCAGAGAAATTGAAAACAAAAAGATAACACATACACCATCTCTTAAATCAAAACAATAAGAATCATTTTAAATATCATCCAAATAGATTTTCATGTGATGTGGAAACTGGATCAACAATTTACTCATCCACTTGCTAAAATAAAAAGTATAACTGAAATTTCTGTGCAAGTTTTCAGAGATATAATCACATAAACACATAATCACATAATGCTGCACAATCGCACAATACATCCCAACAAAATTATCACTTCATTCAAGCACACATACCAATAGTGCTGATTACAGTCAAAGATATATATATATTTTTTTTTTTACTTTTGAAGGTCACCTATCAGATAAACCATAAACTTAACATCATTTTTTTAAGAACTTTCTAATATATATATCCTAACAGTGTAGATGTACTTGGCATATATAAAAATCAAACCATCTAGTGTGTATCCCATAACAAAAACACGGAAAAGAACCAAAAGAATTAACCAAAGACAAAAACAATGTAGAACATACGTGAGGTAATCAAACATAAAAGAAAACCACTTTCTTGAAATCAAAATCAAAATCTTATATTGTTGCAAATATAAAAAGTACTTTGTTCTCTCCCCCTAAACTCACAGTAACAAGTATTTGTCAGAAAAAGTCTAACCTTGTCTAAAAGAATTAATGCCAGTGAACTTTATAATCGCCCTAACCATGACAGGAAAGACAGAATCATACTTCATATTATTTACACAGTTCAAATATGTCTCTTTTAATTATGTACATAGCTGTATATCTTTATGCGTATCTTAACAGTCAATCAACACTTCCTGCTCATGCAGATATGTAAACAGACAAAAACATAGGATGTTGAGACCAGTCTGACCAGTAATTGATGTACAGAAAAAACACATTGAAATACTAACAACTAATTCATAACTTACTTTAGCAAGCTTTTCCTTCCGAGATTCTCTGATGAAAATTTACAACATAAAAGATACTTCAATAAGTTCACTAGTTCGCGAGATATATACTTAAATGAAAACAGGGAAATTCACAAAGGCTGCAGTGTATTCCACCAGCTTATTTTCATTAACAAACCAAGAGTTGTAGAACTTAGCAAAACTGTTTCAGTTCTATTTAAATACATCATAGGAAAGAAGTTGGATGTGATACTATATGATAAACTACAATCATTTACTTATACTTACTTTTACTTATAAATATTATGTCTTCAAAAAATGAAACTTATTTCCAGTACAACAGAATGTATGACTAAAAAAAATGCATCATTCATTAATAAATTAAAAACTGCTTTTCTTGTTCTTTATTCACCTGTTTGTAAGTGACACTAACCTAAGTGTGATACTACTGAATAAAACAAGAACAATGAAAAGAAAAGGCTTATAATTGTGCAAAGACTCCATAAGATTTGTGAATTCTAAAACACCTATAACACAGAGACTTGCAAAATCCTGGATAACTACTATAAGGACTCAAGGAAATAAAAGTATAAGTGAAGGTTAGGAGAAACAAGTATCAGAAGATGAATCATTTCTTAACGAGATGAAAGCCTATCTTTATACTAATAACCCTGGCATGACATCACTTTGAGAATAACAAGATCTCTCATACAAAATTATATTATTATATTTCTAATCTACTGATTCCTATAAAGCATATAACAGTAATCTAATACCACTAATGTCTCAACCTGTAGTACCAAAAGATACTTCTCAAACTTGTCACTAATCTGTGACTACTTAGTATATCACTTGAGAGACCTACTGTGGGGTGGATTTTTTTTTAATAATTCAGCTAGTCTTACATTCAAATAATGCTATGTGACTTTCAAGAGGTTTTGGACAGGAAGCTTTTATGGTAAACTGATTATCAACACCAACTATTGTCAATTCTTAGGAAACAAGGAAATGATTTAGCTGCTAAAGCACTATCAATTATATTGAGCATCCTTAACATTTCTGCACATTAACAACAACTAAAATTTAAAATGTTATCTCTCATACTTCACCCTCTGACATAATTTGTAAGTCCCTGTATGACACAAATAAGTTTTAATCTATTCCTTAAGAAGAGGAAGATGACAAGAGAAGAAGATAAAGAAAGACATAATGAATATCTTTAGATAGTTTTGTTCATCTTCACATGATTGCATGATATTATCTTTTAAGAAGATAAAAACTTCTTAATTCTGTACGAGCACATCACTGCCTCAACACAGCCTATGTAAAATTGACTTAACAACATATATCATTAAAAATGGCAATATACAATATAACCACTACACAGTATCTTTTACACAGTCTACATCCTATGAACATTCTTACACCCTCCATTCTTATTCATCCACAAACATTACAACTAAATATAAACAAGTACTTTGTTCTCTCCCCCTAAACTCACAGTAACAAGTATTTGTCAGAAAAAGTTTAACCTTGTCTAAAAGAATTAATGCCAGTGAACTTTATAATCGCCCTAACCATGACAGGAAAGACAGAATCATACTTCATATTATTTACACAGTTCAAATATGTCTCTTTTAATTATGTACATAGCTGTATATCTTTATGCGTATCTTAACAGTCAATCAACACTTCCTGCTCATGCAGATATGTAAACAGACAAAAACATAGGATGTTGAGACCAGTCTGACCAGTAATTGATGTACAGAAAAAACACATTGAAATACTAACAACTAATTCATAACTTACTTTAGCAAGCTTTTCCTTCCGAGATTCTCTGATGAAAATTTACAACATAAAAGATACTTCAATAAGTTCACTAGTTCGCGAGAAAACTTCTTAATTCTGTACGAGCACATCACTGCCTCAACACAGCCTATGTAAAATTGACTTAACAACATATATCATTAAAAATGGCAATATACAATATAACCACTACACAGTATCTGTTCTTGAGAAAATGAAATATTACTTCATATCTATGGCATGACCCTCATCTGTGTAATAAGGAAAGAAGAGAAATTCTTTTACAGTCTACATCCTATGAACATTCTTACACCCTCCATTCTTAATTCATCCACAAACATTACAACTAAATATAAACATTAGTTATATTCTTTAACAGACCATACTCTGACTTAGGCCTATCTTTTCACTTCTTTTGTTTCTTTAATCCTCTTGTTCTTTCCCCTTATCCATATTAGCTTTACACTTACAGAAGTAAAACTATTTCATTTCTCAGAAAACCCCAATGGTAGTGTTTATTTTAATACTGCCATTCTAATGTATAATTTTATCTTAGTATTTATCAACAATACTAATCCTCTGACAATGAATTGTCATCAACCATTCAAAAAAGATATATCTACCATTCTGAAAACTTATATCTATCAAACATCTACCAATCCTAACACTCTGATTAAATACAGCTGATAATCTATCTAAATAACCTACATAGCTACTCAGCTACAAAGCGATGATTTAAGAATATACAAATAGAATTTGTTATCATTCTTTGTGGTCTGAAGGCCACACTATTCTTTTACAGCCTTTTCTTTGTTTTGTATTTTAATCAAATCTGTTGGCGCAGATGCTGCCGAAACTTGCGATGTGCTCTTTGGGGCAATCCACTTCAGCTTCGAACGCATGGTGACATCAGGATGGGTGAAGGGGCAGCTGGCCTGAGTGCATGACATGCCATAGAAGCAAGCCTGCAAAGTTGACCAGGGTGTTGGTAAAATTAGCAGAAATACAGAAGAAACAAAGGAGATTGCCATTCAGTCATTACCAGAGAGAGTCAAAAGTCTATACTAATATGCAAATTAATTTGCATAACAGATGAGATATATAAAGCACCCTGAGCATAGATACATTTAATATTTGAGAACAAAAACATTATCACTAATACCTAAACATACAACTGAAACCATTGCATGTAAATCTTATCCAGATTCTTACCTTTGGATGAAGAAATGGACAGGACATGTTGGTGCATTTTGGGAAGTATTTACACTTGATCTTGGAAGGTCTACTTGGGGGTATTTTGTGTTTGATGCTGACGGCAGCTGTGAGTAAAAGAAAAGGTTTAAAATTCAAGACAACATGATCCAAGTGTAATTAACCATCACGCATAAAATTATTAGTATTAAAGCAAGTGTCAATCAAATACCTAATATAAAGCACCATACCAGAGCAAAGTGGAAAATTCACAAACTAAAAATCAGAAAGTAATCTGGGATGATCTAAAGAAATATTTCTTTAACAATCAGTTATAAAATACCTGACAGCTAAAAGCAATATTTTGTGGAAACTGATACTACAAAAAAATAATGGTTCCTTAATATACAATTTTACATGTTCTTTGCTACATACTTACATAAATAAAAAGTTTAACAAGAAAGACATTATATTCTCATTTTGTCAGTGATGTACACAAATATCATTATCAATAATATTCAACTTTCATCTATTTTAGGTTCACAGTACAGCCACCTTGGTTCACATTAGGTACAGTCTGAACTTCACGAATTACACTACTAAATATAAAATAATCAAGTTTTCAAATGGAATTCCTTACTAAGAGGAAATGAACTACATACAAAGAAAAATCATACCTGTTGTGAGAGCTAAGCTTCTTGAGCTTGCATGGGTGTACGGACAGCCCCTTCGTGTGCAAGCCGCATCGTATATGCAGTTAGGATGTATGTACAGGCACTTATCACCAAATTTGCATGATGGAAAGGATCTGGGAAATAGTAATTATGTAATCAATAAAATTCTCAAATCATAATTTCAGTTTAAAAAAAAAAATGGTACAAAGGTAAGCCAGGACTGAATCCAGTGCTTCTCTGATATTTCTGCACACTTCCTTTATTATTCCAAAAAAAAACCTTTAAACTCCTAGCCACAAATATCTCAATGATACACCTCATTGTTTCCTCATTGACAGTACAAGTGATAATTAATGTCATTCACCAGCTTCAGATTTTCTTCTCATGAGATAACTCTGAGATGACATGAATGATTGCTACAGAAATCCTCAGTCATCTTCCCTCTCATGTTACTGAATTATTGACGAATAGTAATACAACTAATAAAATGATATGCCACTTAAACTTAAAAAATATCTGCCAAAACAAAAATCATATTATAATACAATGTCAAGCAAAACATTAATAAGAACCAGATACACTTATGTAAGATGCCTATACTACCAAAGAATAAGGATAAACATATATCTCCTTTTTACTTACATGCAAGGAAGAGTGGGATGATGATATTGACATGAATCTCCCGCTTTGCATGCTGGCCAGTACCTGCAGCGCTCCTCAAATTTGTTGCCTCCACCTAGAGATATAAAAATGAAGATGGCAGTGATAGTAAAGACACGAGTTGCAAAAATAATGGCAGAATCAGTAATACTATTTGCAGTAACAACAACAAGAATGATAGTAATACGTGTTAATGACAAAATAATGTCCTGACATCTAGAGCAGTATGTATCAATGGCTGTAGTTGCATTTATACTAGTAATAATACCAGTAGTAATATCAAATATAAAAGCATAAAGATTGGATGTATTTCACATTTAAATATAACCTCTACATCTTTAGGAATCACAAAAGTCCATTATAACCTACCTCCATCTTGCCCTGATGACACTGAGATGGCACTCTTGAGCCGGGGTTTGACACCTGCTATTAGACCAACACCAGGTAATGAGCCTCCTCGGGTCATGTCACTTGAAGTTTCCTCTTCTTCCCACTCCTCTACTTCTTCAATGTACTCCTAAATGTAAAACACAAACTTTGTTTTAGACAAAGCATTATAAATGCATTAAGACAATTTTTTTCAGAAGTTTACAGCATCTAAAAGAATAACTTCACTATGCAAGAGACACACAAATTAACCTCACCTCGACTTCCTCAAGACTATCACTGCGGATGGGGCGAGCTCCAAGGCGGGACCGAATGTCAGGAGGATCATCTCTCATCTCAAAAACATCAGTATCCACTCCTTCAAGTGTCACTATGAACTTGGTGTTCTCTCTCCTGAGGAACAGATGCAGAGATGAGCATACCCCATTACAGCAAAAAGGCAAAGATACAATCATGCTTATAAAAATGTACTACAAGCTGCCTGTTAAACACTGAACGGCAGTCCTGTTTTACACCAGGGAGGTGACACCTGTGCAGGACTTTGGTCTGGCACTGCCATTTTTGCTTAATCATACGAGGCAGAATAAGCCTATCTAGAGCAATACTGTTAAATACCAAAATAGACAACTTCATTTGCAAATCTGATATACATAGACAAAAAGTTTTCATTTTTTCTTGGGACATGGAGGGACTTTAAGGCGATACATAAAACATGGATGCAGTTAGATACTACCACATATACAACACCTTAGAAACTCCCTTTCAACAGAAACCTTCTCGTATCTGTATTTGCATCTATAACTCGTACACTTAATCATATATACCCTAAAAGCAACAGTTGGCAAAAACTATGAACATAGTTTTATTTTCTCCACATACATACCTTTTCTTGATGTGTATAATATGAATGACACCTGTTAACTAATACTACATCACTGGATGTTTTACATCTAATTTTGGGATATCAAGTTTCCTTCACTGTATAATTTTAAAAAACAATAAGAAAAATTAGAAATCTGACTACACAAGTAACACAATAACGAAAGAGTAGCTGATCATGCCTAAATACAAGAAAAACTACAGCACATTTCACAAATATCAATCCCTGGAAAATGCAAACTTCAGAAAAGTTGATCCTTGAGACATCTTACCCTGCAACATGAGGCACTACTGGCTGTGGGGGGTCTGAGCCAGGGAGAGGTTGGTCCTCCTCAATTCCTTCATCAACTACCTCCTCCTCAACTTCAACTTCCTCAACCTCTTCCATACCATAAGGAACTTCTGGAAAGAAGTAGGAAATTCTTGTGTTATTTTTTTCTTTCAACATGACTCACTAACAGAACTGAATGCTGAACTTCTCAGCTCATGTTAAGTTATATACAAGAATAATATTTATCTTGGAGATACAAACTCCATCTGCTAAGTATTTCAATACATTTTTTTGTAAGTTCTGTCTTTCTTTTATAAATACCCCTTAATAATACATACAATAATCAGACACTTGCTAATATATTTATTACTCTTCCCAAAAAATAGGAAATGAAAAAAGGAAAAATTAACCTACCAGGAACCATTTCATCACAGACTTCCTCCTGCTGAACAACATCTTCCATTGCTTCTTCCTTCACCAGCGCATCTGAAGAGCTGGTGATTCCTGGCATCATCTCCTCCTTATCTTCTTCATCTCTCTGCTGCTCTTCACTCTCCTTCCTTGTTGCATTAGGGACTGTGATGGCAATCTTTCTGACCCTTAGTTCCCCTTCAGTAGGGAGGTCCTTTTGGCGGGCCTGTTCTCGTTCACGGTACCCTCGGGTAAACAATTCACCCTAAAAAAGAAGAATAAAGACACATAAGACTCTTGGAGCTATTGAATAATTATAAAGAACAAAAATCCAAAGGGAGGACTCAGATGGTTAATCAATCAATAAAACTTGTGCAGATGAAGAACCTGTGCAAACTAAGAACATTCACAACTGTAATCAACTCTAACAATTACAGCATAAATATACCTTTTGTTTTTTTTGAACAGGCTCTGCTTTTGTTGGCAAGTTCCTTGATGGTCTGTTTACGGATTTGTGTGCATCAGCCATTGCTCGAAGGATAAGAGCTGTATTCGCTTGGATGGCACCTGGGCGTCTAGGCCTTGGAGTTACCTGAGAATGAGAGAATAATGTGTGTAATTAGATTTGCTTCCAGAAATATATGTAACTTTGTGAAACAAATAACTTTGTTTGATAAAACTGAACTGAAGTGATTGCACCGACTAAGAGAAAATTTAAGATCATAGCGTCGTAGGCAATGAAAAAGTACACTGACTGACATCAAAATTCATCTGCTGAAGCCCACTGAAACGACGAAAAGGTATCGCAGTGAGTGCCACATTGCAGCTAAGTCCAGTCAGAGTTAACGCGACTAAGTCCACACGTGACCTAATGAAAGGTAAAACATTCTTCCATGTTGATACTATGGTGGAAAAACCCATAATGCAAAAACTAGATTTAGTAGGAAATGAGACTACAGTTTCGAAATCCACCTGGATTACATTTTCAGGTCTGACCCATCTCAATCTCCAGACCTGAAGATGGAATCCAGATGAATTTCGAAACGTGACCTAATTTTTACTACTAAGTTTTCACGCATTGTTCACACCTACTGCTCGGTCACTGCGACCTTTGTCACGACGAATCATGTATTCCACTATTTTTGGGGAGGCTTTCCGTGTACATCTCATACGTATATATCTTAATATGTTTTCTTATATAAACCTAAGATGTTATTGAAAATATTTTTTGTGCTTCATAATGACAGTGTTTCGTCAATTAAGGCCTGTGTTTAATTTTTTCATACAATGATTTCATTTCATACGCGCGTAAACTAAGGATGGCCACTTTGACTGTCAGTCAGTTTCAAGTATGACTACCCGGTGTCAAGACTATGACAGTGGCTTTGGCGTATTTCCCCCCCCTAAAAAATCAGGTGAAACTGAGGAATTGGTTCGTTTTTGCAATGAACATGGTATTATACTGAATACTAATGAGTGTGCAAAGTGTGGGGCAGACTACCGAACAGACCTAAAGAAAAAAAACTATTCAGATGTAACAAATCAAGGAAAATAAACAATAGGTGTGTACGACGCCAATTTCAAGGATCAATATTCAAGTACACATAGTTTGATAAAAGACACATAGACAATGAAACGAATCTGTTTTCAAATTCGGCAAGCGAAAATATGACGTCGGCCGCGCAATAGAGGGGCAGTGGGTGTTAGGCGGTCTGCCGTCAGACAAGACAATGTTTCCTTGTCGCCGTTGCTTCCCGAGACGCCGAAACTCTTCTCGACATCATCAAGAAAAAAATTGAGCCATATACAACGATAATTAGTGATAGTTGGAAGGCAAATAAATATCTTTAGCACGAAGGTTTTAACCAACTGACAGGGAATCATTCGCTAAACTTTGCTGACACGTTGATAGCCGCTGATACTAACACTCACTGAGCGGAAGTGTAGAGAGGCGAAGGCGATAGTTCCCCGCTCCGGCAGGAGGAAATATCACTTTGTGGGCGATGTTTCAGATGAAGGGTTCGAGGCGGAGCCCCCAGCTGTTTAACCCATTGCCGCCGGGGAAAATGAACAAAAAATGGGGTAAATGCAGTACTCATTTTTTTTACTTTTGTGAAATATCTCTGTCCATAGATGGCTCTGCTAGTCCTGATTTCACCTTTCCTTGAATTGGCGGAAAAAAACGTATTCTTACTAGTGTTATAAATATAGATGATGTTATTTTTAACAGCAAATTAGGATAACGTTAAATATTTTCGTAAATCGATAAAAAGGGTGAACGGGCGAGACAGGCAGTACTCGTAATTGGCTCATTGGATACTTAGTACAAGTGTAGCCATCTATGTGTAAAACCGATCGAACAAGTCGACTCACAGTGGGCATGGCATGTACGTACATGCTATCCCCGGCGGCAATGGGTTAAACACAGCGATCGGGAGGGGTCCGGGGGCAAAGCCCTCGATAGGGACATGTTGCGATTGGGTGGGGGTCTGGGAGGCTCCCGATAAGGGAATACGGCTATTGGGTGGGAGCCCAAGGGCGGATCCCCCGGTAGGGGAATACGGCGATCGGGTGGGGGTCAGAGGGCAGAGCCTCCGGGTTGGGAAGTTGTTTTGTTTTTTAACGGCCCCCAGCTAGGCAAGTAGGGCGATCGGAAGGGGGTCGGGGGGGGGGGGGGGGGGGTTAGTGAAACACGGCGATCGAGAATGTGCTTGTTCGTTCGTTTGATCCCGGAACGCCGATTCGAATCTGCGAACGATTCTTGACCCGGGTGTTCCTCTTTCTACTTTTTTTATCATTTAAATTTTTCAATTTTCCACTTTCTATATCATTTAAATTATGATTCTTAGCTCGGAATTTTCTGTTTTCCACTTCTTATAACTTTTTTTTTATTGCCGTTTATTAGCGATCTCCTCTATATTCATCCCCAACCCCCCTGCAACACTGGCACTGCAATTGCCAGGCTTAGGGTTCAAGCCCAGCCACCCCATTGTAAGTGTCTCAGCTGAGAGTCAGCTGGTTCAGTCAACATGGAAAGGAACTAGTTACTCTACAGCATCCTGTGTCATGTTCCTCTATGGTCATATCTACTACATTCAGTGGATATGCGATTAACTTTCTAGACTAATGTAATTCTTTATATTGTGATAGCCTCCAGGCTAGTACAGTGGTAACGTGTCGGCCTCTCATCCGAGGGGTCGGCGGTTCGCGCCCCGCCCAGGCCCGAGAAGTTGCAATTGTCGTCTGGAGGTTACTGCTGTGGCTGGGCACCACGGTGGGTAAGGACTAAGCTCATCCGGGTCAGCACCTGCTGACACAGTGTTAGCGAGTCGACATTAGTCGGCACAGGCCAGGCTCCCCCATAGGGCTCAGCTTCGCATATCGGACTTATCCTTACTTATATTGTGATGTATTAGCCCAGTTACACTGTTAGCTTAAATTATATATAAATAAATAGGTAAGTATATTTGCTACATAAAAAAATTAAAGACCATATGACATTACCTCTACTTTGCTGGCCATGCCACTCAACTGAGGCTTCTTGGGGTCATATCCCTCATCATCTGAATCCACCTGAAATGTACAGATTTGACTAAAGTCAGATTCTGATAGTATCATCACAAAAGTATTCCAATACAATGACCTCTCCTTTCCCCTGATGAACACATTTTATAATTACATGCAAGCACAAATAAAAACTCTTATAATACTTTTTATCCTGGACACTCACCTGACTATGTGGTCTTTTTAGGACTGCTCCTACAGCTGACACCACCCTCGTTGATGTCGCTCTACTGGGAACATCTCTTGAGGTCGATCGGCTTGAAACCTCTCTTGACTGTCCATCTCTATCTCTACTTGAAGATTCATTTCTTGATTCTATGTGCTTTGACATGAGAGGTCTCACACGGGCCTGGTAAGAAAAAGAAAAACAAATTTCAGTAATTTTTTTTTCTACAGATATAACTTGTCTCCTACTAATCACAACCATACAACAAAATGTATATCTACACTTACAACATGCCATAACCGACACTAACAACTAAATTGTCTTTCTCACCTCTAACTTTTTACCAGATGAAGTTGTGGATGAAGGCAGAACACACACAGATCTTTGAGCTGAAGTTATGGCACTAGACACAGCCCGAGCCATGCCACTACTGGCTGTGGTAGAAGAAGGCTCAGGACGAGGAGGGAAACTTGATTCCTCTCGCAAATTGATCACGCGACGACCACCAGATGTTGAACTTCCTAAGCGATCTAACACAGACACCTAAAATTAAAAAATAATGTCAAATTAATAATCTGAAGATAAAGTTATTCTACCGCAACTGAAAAATTATAACTCTGTGGCTTGTTCTTATTGTAAAACCTTTTTCTCTATGACTCCATTTCCCTATTTTCAAAATCCTGTTTGTTCTAAATCATGAAGCAGGTTGAATAAAGATACATTTGTGATACTATCTGGTCCTTTCTTTATCTAAATCTGCAACTATTATGGAGAATGTGGAACGTGCTTCAAAAATGAACGAGGGGGGGAATAAGGGGACCTACCACTTGGCAGTGCTTCAATGCCCCTTACAGGTTTTTTTTTTTTTTTTTATTGTTTAGTAAAAAAAAAATAATAATAATAATAATAATAATAATAGCTATCAGCACTTTATTTGTACTATTAATTTAAATCCTAGCTGACCCTAACATCAAATAAGATATTTAATTTACTGCTTATGTTTATTTGACAGCAATGATTATTTCACTGAAGCCTCATTTGTACTATACTATCTTTAGTCCATAATTGTTATAAATAAGAAGGTCACTTCTGAATTTTCTGACTCTTACTAACATCAGGATGTTTAAAAATAAAGTCTAAATAAAAAACATTAATTTTAATCAACAACTAAAAATATTGAGATAAAAGAGAGAAAAGAAATTTCTTTTGGGGAAATTACCTCTCAGACAGATAAATAAAGGAGTGTATTGATCTATATGAAACTGACTTTTCTAATTTATCCTTTAATATCCTTAAAATAAAAGTTGGCAAATATCATACAGCTAAGTTTAATCAATACCACTCTCCTTAAAAATAATAATAACTAATAATATCAAGTGCAATAACATGAAATTCAAAATGCCTCATGACAAAAGTACCTTCTCCTTAGGTTGCTCTGTCTTTTGTGCAACAGCTGTTCCCAGTCTCTCCTTTGCAGACAGTCGGGCTGGGGGGTTGGAGGGCTCGACCTTGGATTTTGTCTTTGTCTTGAGTTCCACCTTGGATTCAACCTTGGCCTCTGCTTTCACCTCCACTCTTACTTCTGGTTTTGAGGCTGCATTCTTTTGTTTCTGGTCGATTCTGGTCTTTCTTGGAGCAGGCTCCTCTTCCAGTTCAAGAACCAATTCATCTAAAGAAAAAATATATACATATTAAAATGATGTGAAACAGAAAAGTGTCATTATAATACACAATACATCCTTTCTGTCAATCTTACACATTATGAAATCATCTTCTGCTGAATGGCAAAACCATTTCAGAAGTATTTACCAATATCTGCTCTAAGCTCAAGCATATCTTCCTCAATTTCTTCCTCCTCCTCCTCCTTCATTGTCTCCCCTCCGCCCGCAGCTTCGGCACGGAAAATGTCTGCCGACGATACTTTGCCCCTCATCTGCGGCTTGATCTTCTTGAGGGTTTTGCCCCCGATGGAACTCACTGTGGAGGTTACTGGAGGTTGGCTTTTCTCCAAGGATGGTTCGTCCTGAGGAGCTGTTATTTTGACTCTTTCCTTGTTCTCCTTTTCTTTGCTGACCTCTTTTGACCTGGTGAGCTTCACAGGCTCCACGACTGATTTTTTCTCCTTGACAAATTTATCCTGAGATTCTGGAGATTCTGATTTCTTTAGTTTTTTCTCCTTCTTATCGTCCTTCTTCTCGCTAGACTTTCTTTTCCTCTCTCCCTTTTCTTTCTCCTTTTGCTTCCTCTTCTCCTCCTCTTTGGCTCTCTTACCTTCTTCTGCTTTGTCACGTTTCTTCTCTTCATCTCTTTCTCTTTTCTTTTCTTCTTCTCTTTCTTTTCTCTTCTCCTCTTCATCTTTCTTCTTAGTGTCATCTGTTTGTGGTGTTGTGACTAGAAAGTAAATGAAATATAATTAATATAACATCCTAACAAATATAACTTTTAACTTATCTAACTATATTCTCATTCTTTTGTAACAAGGTAATTAGGAATAATAACAGACATCAATACATAAAATATACAATAATGGCTTTCACAGTGAAAATCTACATAATAAAACCTCAATATATTGTATAAAAAAAATATACACTTGACAGATTAAGATAACTCTCTGAATTTTCATCTGCATATAAGACATACAGAATAAAAATAAAAGTTGGAAATTCATGACAAATCATAAGAAAAGTTTAAAGAAATACAAGAGTAAAGGTTTCCCCACTTGCAAATTTTCGAGGAATGCTTTATTGACTGACCTTGCAAAAGTGCAGCTGCATTGAGTTTTTGAAGCACATGGTGGAGCCAGGATGTGAAGCGCTCAGTGTTGTGGCCCAGGAAGAGACTCAGGTCATCGTCCATCTGGTCCTTCGTCTTCTTATTCGCCACCAGCACCATGATGTAGTCTGGCAGTTCCTCATCTGAAGCAAAGTAGATGTCATATATAAACAAATGCAATACCATGGAAGAGTTTATAACTGTTTCATTTTTTTTTTCATAAGTACTGTCCAATGCAGTTAAATCTTTGTATTACAGTCAATTTTATCCAAAACCGTTATGCTGCAACAGATTTACTTACCAACATATGTACCAAGCTCCACTAGTTTTGCCTTGATTGCAGACTGGAAATAAATAAAAACAAAATAAGTAATTTCAGATATTAAATAAAAAATTGTTATTTATCTTTTAGGGTCCTAAAAGATCTATAGCATGAAATTAACTTCCTATTCTACTCTGATAACATCTGAGTTGGTTAACCTCTTACTGCCAGGCACGCCTATAGCCGTCATGAAAATCTAAGTCATCATGATGGGTACAGCTATAGGCATCACAACACACTAGAGCAAGCCGAGCAGGAAGTTCCACTACACATAGCAGACTCCCAGGCCCAATGGTTGGACGGAATCTGTGACACCATGAGATTTCTGGTACCGTAATTGTGGGGTTATGACTACTGTTTCCTTTCTATTCTTTTCTTTACACAACAAAGATGATATAGACCAAACATAATTCCATAATCTTTAGATGTTGTTCTTTTCTGGTTAGTTCTTTGGCTCTCTCCATCTTGCTTCAGGTAACCTTTATATATGTCTATAGGGTCATCCTGGGTAATCTAAATGTGTATGTCTATAGGGTCAGCCTGGGTAATGTAATTTTGTGTCTATAGGGTAAGCCTGGGTAATGTAAATGTGTATGGCTATAGGGTCAGCCTGGGTAATGTAAATATGTGTCTCTAGGCTCTGCCTGGGTAATGTTTTTATCACTTACTGGACAGATGGTTGAGAAAGTTAAATAGACAGTACCCTCACACAGTACCATCAGACAAAGGGTACTGTGTTCAGGGAAGCAACTACACAGTTGGGGTCTTGACAGTTGGTGATATATATTTATATATTGACACTAAAACATCTTTAGAGAGAGGAAACATCCAAAGTTTTGTGGTACTAGTGACTCCTATCTTTAGCTGATTCCACATAAATAGCTGAATTTCATCAAAACTACCCTTTCTTTAAAAACTTATAGCTCTGTTTAAAAAGTTATTCATCAAATGTTTAAAAAGTTATTCATCAAATGTAAATTACAAAAAATATATAGTAATTATAGACTATCTTCATGCTAAAGTTTTATGTCTTCTTTAATAAAGAATATGTGAACATTTTTCTAGAAACAAACATCATCTACCTTAAAACCAGCTCACTAACTTTACATTACAAATACTGGGTATTTATATATCTGTCTGTCTGCTGTCTGCTGTCTGTGTGTCTGTCTATCTATCTGTCTGTCTGTCTGTCTGTCTGTCTGTCTGTCTGTCTGTCTGTCTGTCTGTCTGTCTGTCTGTCTGTCTTTCTATCTGATTGTCTGTCTATCTGTCTGTCTGTCTGTCTGTTTATCTATCTATTTAGCTACCAACTTATCTAATCTATTTATTTACCTATTTCTCTATGTATGTATGTATGTATGTATGTATGTATGTATGTATGTATCTATCTATCTATCTATCTATCTATCTATCTATCTATCTATCTATCTATCTATCTATATATCTATCTATCTATCTATCTATGTGTGTATGTGTGTATGTATGTATGTATGTATGTATGTATGTATGTATGTATGTATGTATCTCTCTCTCTCTCTCTCTCTCTCTCTCTCTCTCTCTCTCTCTCTCTCTCTCTATATATATATATATACATATATATATATATATATATATATATATACATATACATATTTATCTATCTATCCAACCATTTAATATATATATTCAGGCATGTACAGATTTGCACTTATGTCTACCTCCAAACAGACTGTTATACCAATCATAGATTACATAAGTGCAAGATCTTTTCTTTTAATCATACTCTTGAAATATGAATTACACAGAAAGTTAATCAGTTCCTTCCTCTCTCTTTTCATGAGTTGGCATAGGTCACACCTGTGTCACTAATAATACAACCATTAACAGAAAGGAAATGTCCATCATGTGGTGCAACCTACAACAGTAACATTAAATTAACTTCTATATTTCTTGAGGTGTCTCAGCTGATTGTCTATTGAAAACTAAATGCAGACATTAATTATTTTCCTTTCCATAAATATATTCAATGCAAATTATATCTACTAGTCATACTTCAAAATAGTGTTATAAAAAATCAAAATAGATATCTCATGGCACAGAAAGAAATCAAAGAAATTTATTACATTTTCATATTGCATTCCTAGATTTAAAAAATCTCAACAATAGATCTTCAAGAGAAACCGAGCTGTGGCTTTTGGAATGAACTTTTTCCAAGTAATTATATTACAGTTTTGCAACATCCAAATCTACTTGAAACTTGCTGTTTTTCATAGAAGGACTACAATCTCCAGTCCAACCAGATGAAGGCACAGTGCCAAACAATCACCAAAACCTCTTGATACTCACTTAAAACAATAAATCTTGGGAGATTGCCCTTTCAAAAGAAATTACTACAACAATTATTTCTTCAAAATCAAAGGCCTTATAAACCCAAACCTTACCACATGCAATCAAGTTCTTACAGATATCCTACCCCTGAATATGTGATCTCAAAAGCCTCTCCTGCTCTAAGACTTTCATATTCAAGCTTTTACAAGAATGAGCTCGCAGCCCCCGTGAAAATATCCAGCATCTCTCTCTCTCTCTCTCTCTCTCTCTCTCTCTCTCTCTCTCTCTATATATATATATATATATATATATATATATATATATATATATATATATATATATATATATATATATATATATATATATATATATATATATATATATATATATATATATATATATATATATATATATATATATATATATATATATATATATATATATATATATATATATATATATATATATATATATATATATATATATATATATATATATATATATATATATATATATATATATATATATATATATATATATATATATATATATATATATATATATATATATATATATATATATATATATATATATATATATATATATATATATATATATATATATATATATATATATATATATATATATATATATATATATATATATATATATATATATATATATATATATATATATATATATATATATATATATATATATATATATATATATATATATATATATATATATATATATATATATATATATATATATATATATATATATATATATATATATATATATATATATATATATATATATATATATATATATATATATATATATATATATATATATATATATATATATATATATATATATATATATATATATATATATATATATATATATATATATATATATATATATATATATATATATATATATATATATATATATATATATATATATATATATATATATATATATATATATATATATATATATATATATATATATATATATATATATATATATATATATATATATATATATATATATATATATATATATATATATATATATATATATATATATATATATATATATATATATATATATATATATATATATATATATATATATATATATATATATATATATATATATATATATATATATATATATATATATATATATATATATATATATATATATATATATATATATATATATATATATATATATATATATATATATATATATATATATATATATATATATATATATATATATATATATATATATATATATATATATATATATATATATATATATATATATATATATATATATATATATATATATATATATATATATATATATATATATATATATATATATATATATATATATATATATATATATATATATATATATATATATATATATATATATATATATATATATATATATATATATATATATATATATATATATATATATATATATATATATATATATATATATATATATATATATATATATATATATATATATATATATATATATATATATATATATATATATATATATATATATATATATATATATATATATATATATATATATATATATATATATATATATATATATATATATATATATATATATATATATATATATATATATATATATATATATATATATATATATATATATATATATATATATATATATATATATATATATATATATATATATATATATATATATATATATATATATATATATATATATATATATATATATATATATATATATATATATATATATATATATATATATATATATATATATATATATATATATATATATATATATATATATATATATATATATATATATATATATATATATATATATATATATATATATATATATATATATATATATATATATATATATATATATATATATATATATATATATATATATATATATATATATATATATATATATATATATATATATATATATATATATATATATATATATATATATATATATATATATATATATATATATATATATATATATATATATATATATATATATATATATATATATATATATATATATATATATATATATATATATATATATATATACTTTTTCATAGAAGGACTACAATCTCCAGTCCAACCAGATGAAGGCACAGTGCCAAACAATCACCAAAACCTCTTGATACTCACTTAAAACAATAAATCTTGGGAGACTGCCCTTTCAAAGGAAATTACTACAAAAATTATTTCTTCAAAATCAAAGGCCTTATAAACCCAAACCTTACCACATGCAATCAAGTTCTTACAGATATCCTACCCCTGAATATGTGATCTCAAAAGCCTCTCCTGCTCTAAGACTTTCATATTCAAGCTTTTACAAGAATGAGCTCGCAGCCCCCGTGAAAATATCCAGCATTCAGTTCCCCCCAAAAATAATTTTGCACCTGAACTGCACATCATCGCGAGAGAAAGCTATCGATAACAGCAACAGGAATTCCTAACTATTCTGCCACATACAGCAAATGGCATATATATTTTTACTGAATGTACATAATAACAGCAACATTTATAGGCTCTACACTCACACACAATACAGCATTTCAATACATGTAAACAATATGACCTGCCTAAAAATACGCGAATCTCCCCCACTGGTAAATTCAGATCGATTTTCTTCCTCGTATTCAACCGAATCTCTTACTGTGACCTTACCCAGGATAGAACCAAACACGGGAGTCACTCACCCTTATCTTAAGGCTGACCTCTGACCCTACGCCTTCCATGGCAGAGGAAAAATGTGTAAAAACCGTCCGCGAGATCCAGAGTTTACATCAACGTAAACAATTTTCACCTCAGTCTCTGACTCT